TTGTGTGCGCACTTTGCTCCGCAGCAAAGGCAGTGCATAAGAAACTTGTTCATTAAGCTTTGATTTATCTATTTTCAAACTTACCTATAACGGAAAATTCACGCTGGAAATTGAACTTGCAGTGGAAAATGTCTGAAAAACAAAATATCACCTTTTTATATGTCCCGGTAGTGTTAAATAAAAATATAATTCGTTTTTACTCTCTTGTTCTAGACATAGTATGTGTCAATTCTATCAATAAGATTCGCAATTTTATTAAAAAAAATTCTATAAAGAAGTGCTAATAATGCACTTCCGCGCGCCATCTCGGAATCAACTATTTTACTATAACTATGATTGAATCTCAATGCCAATTGTTATCCTATAGAAAAGGACTGTCTTTAGGGTTTTTCCGGCAATTAATAGAATTTTTCCGCTGTAAAAACCATCCTTGGACTTTAACGATCATTTAAAAATAAGAATTTTCCAAATTGTTCAAGGCGTTGTTGAGTTATGCGCTTATCAACATATTTTGCGATTCTTTTTTATAATATAGTTACGCTGTAAGAATAATAAATAATGTAAAATTGAATAAATTTGCGTAAAAATACGGATTTATGTAAATGAAATTTTCACTAAAGTTATTTTATGAAATTGATATGTATTTTAGGTAGCTATTTCATCGCTGTTCATTAGCTTTCATTGCGTTCGGCGGGCGCGCGCGCGATGGAGCACTTTATTAATGCGCAATCATTATGCAAAACTAATTCCGCTCTTTGCTCAGCGGGGCGAGGGTGTGCTCGATCTTGGCGCCGCCGATATTAGTCGCTTTAATGCGTCCTGTCCGCCCACGCAGTTAGCGCGCATTAGTCCCGTCCAGCGGCGCTTTTTATTCGCCGCCGAAAAGCGGAGTTTTACGCCGTTTTGCATATAAATTAATGTCGAATATTACTCGTATGCTAGTGCAAATGCAATGCAATTGCCGTAAATATAAACAACAGCCGCGAGTGCGAATCTTTGCACTACATAAACTATCATTTCTGTAGTCATGGAAAATGCACTTTAACCACATGGAAATATTTTCGTTCACGTTAGCGAATGTTAAGGATACGAATGTAGGTTATGTATTTATGTAACGCTGTTCAATGATAAATAGCAGCTTCCTTTTTTTCGCTGGCTGGGTTGTGCGTTTGTCGGTGGGGTTAACTTTGTAGATGATTTATACCCAAAAGATATATCGTTTTCGTCCGCTTGCTCCGCCAGGTCCGAAACTGAACACACACTTTTTGATTCCGACAACGCACGCACAACTTTTCAATGTCGAACAAATTTTGTAAAATTTTAGTTTTGTGCGTTTCGACGTCAGTCTCATGCACGCTGCGCGCCGATTTTATCAACGTCAGCGCATAAACGGATTACGCGTTACGCGCGAATAACTGTTATTATACAAAACAGTGCGCAATCGGGCGGGGGCGGCTTTTGTTCGCAGATTTTGCCAATTACTCGCGAGCCTTTTGTCATCCGCACGCAAACCAAACACAGCTTGCACGTGATTTTCCATCCTGTATACAATATCAAATCGTTTTTTTCGCGCATAACACACAAACATTTATTACATTGTGTTATAAATTAATTATATATATTAAATTTCAATAACCGCGATAATAAAAGGCAAGCAAAACAGGTTTTATTCGCTTGACAGCCGAATGATTGAAGATCCACGTTTGGATTTTATATTTCCGCATGCGGAAGTACTTTCCACTTCCGGTACTGTTTGCCTTTTATCATAAATAAATATTGCGGCTATATAGATATAAAAGTAAACGTTTAACGCACAGAATGTAAATGTAATTTCCTCAATCAACTGCCGAAAAGCGGTTTCTTTACTACCGACCGAAGTTTATCATTTATCACATATAATAAAAAAACGAGTTTCATACACAATCACACGACGATCGCGCACATTTTTTGTGTATTTTACAGGAAAACGTAATTTATAGTGGAATTCTCCCCCAATGTGTACTTATCTTAGTGCGCTGTTGTGTTAAGATTTGTTATGTGCATTCGTAATGTATATAACGACGTTGGCGGCGGCGGTTTCGTGCGCCGTTAGTGCGGCTCTCCAGCTCGTTGGCGGCAGCCGCAAATTGTTCGCGATCGGCGATGTGCGTCTCGAAACTTTAGCGCGAACGCTTTCCACATGCCGGCTGTGTAATCGATGATTTTTAAATTTATTACAAGAGGCGGCAGCGGGGGGCGGCTGGCATGGCATACTGATAAAATTTATAGACTTTGTAAATGCTTTTGCAAATTTTAGCGGTGGTGGTAGGCACCTACAACTCATAATTTATAATCTAATGCGTAAAAATTTTATTGCGCATGCGCGACGCAAAAATTACACGCACGATAATGTAACGCTCATTGTGTATTAGGTAATATTGTGTTCGGCAAATTGGTTTCGCCCAAAATTCGCTCGCGCGCCCAAATAGAGTATTCATATATTGAAATTATATTCTCGTCGGCAGCGGCGGTGGCGGCGCGTCGCAAAACAAACGCGCGCGCGAGAATGTAATCACTGCGCCCGCACCACCACTCCTCCTACCATGCTCCGGCGCCGCCGCCGCCCTTGCCGTTCATGTCGCCCGCCGTGCAAACAATCATAAAGCTAACAAATAATTCATAAGCACATTAACTGGACCGGCGTAATCAAATGGTTCCATTACAGTGCACCTCGCCGCCCCCCATCGCCGCCTGTATACGCATACACTTCAATCGTGTGGGCAGTTAATGCGAGCCGACGACGGTAATAACAGCGACGGTTAATATGCAACACTGCGAACGCAAATAGAATATTTTCGCGATACACACTGTCATAAAACAGGTTAAGTTGGGTTAGGCGAGGTTAAGTTTGGTTAAAGTTTTTAATGTCGTAGGGGAATGACTTTGGCTGCGATGACTACGAGCAGAGGACTTCGACAACTAAAACAAACTTTTTGCTCCGCTCGAGGGATGAGTCTGACGCTGACAGCAATCTCACATTTACGACGATGGCGCACCTCGTCTTCTTTTTGCGACGCTTAAGATTTGAATTTATTGAAAATTTCACATTCCGCTCGTCGCGTTTGCTTTCCAACTTTTAAGCGCCCAAAAAAGATCAAAAACGATTCAAAATCCACCGAGTAATGTCCAAAAATTCTACTATAGAAGTGATGGTAGTGGAAACATTTATTTTCTCTTGGATAATTTAAAATTTGAAAACATTGAAAGTTTTGAAGTACCTACAAGAAATTTTTAGTAGGAATACCTTCATCCCACGCGTCTGTTCACAATTCCGGCTCTTTTCTTTTGAGGAATTTTCCCCAAAGATGCAGAGCAAAAGCGGGCCATTTATTCCGGCTGAGCGCGAGCAACCTAGCGCACAGGTTCATGCAAAGTTTGGAGATAATGCGCCCGCAGTTGCCGCCTCGCTGCCGCCTCCCTGCAGTCCCGTGACGCGCTTCCAACTGGAACTAGATGAGTGATGAGAGCGAGTTGCATCCAGGTTAGATATAGGTATACATAAAAAATTCAAAAAAATACTAAAAACCAAACGAAATTGTTGGCGAGTTTCTTCCAACATAAGTTAAAATAAATAAATTTAATCTAATAAACTAGCCGCGAGCAGACCGTATTGTTTACGAGCGTCGGCAAAGGTCTTCAACATTTCATCCGCAGGAGAGCGCAGCGCGAATAAATGGCTTCCGGTTTGGCGGTGGAACACGTGCTTCGATAACGTATTGCCTCATCGAGCCCGTTGCTTGAAACACCAACTATTCCCCAAACTCGCAGCCTCAAACTGCCTTAAACCTCAAACCATCGTCGAGGCTTACAAACCGCTTGGTAAAATAAAGAAGAAGGAAAAAGGCAAGAAAAAAAAGCAAAGAAGAAAACAAAGCACTTTCCACATACCGCACTTGGATCCTTTTTTGATGTCATCATGACGCGCAATTAGAACCACCAAGCGCTTTTCCTTCACGCCTCTACTCTACCTCTCGTGTGTTGCTATTTAGTGTTTCGAAATGCGAGTAGGTGTGCGTGGGCGCTGCCTTTATTTATCGCTCATTGGCAATGAAAACTTTCGCCAACAACTATATTTCTTTAAAGCTGTAAGACTGCCTGACTCCGCAGTAGCAAGTAGAATGAGGCGAAGTTCATTTAGAACGAGTCTCGAACTCGTTTCGAGTCAAACAACTCGAAACTCCTGGAACATTAACCCATAAAATCGTTTCATAAATCTTTGAAAGACTAGTCTAGTAGGTACCAGCGGGCAACTAAAAAAATTTAAAACATTTCAATTTTCTGTAATATTTCAAGCTGTTTTTCGTTTTTTTCTTGCTGGAGTGAATGCAGAATGCAGAATAAATTCTTGAGCCACTCGCACGTCGAAGGGGAAAACGTGTGCGCGAACGCTTGAGGAATGATTCTCGTCAATCACTGACCCTACTTCTTGGCGCGCAGTATATTCCTCACTTCCGGATGGAAGTTTAAAATATGTCAAACGGAAAATCCAAAAAATATATTTAGTTTAAATTAATTTTTGCCCGCGACTTCGTCCTGGTAGTGTTTAATAAAAATGTAATTCGTTTTTACTCTCTTGTTCTAGACATAATATGTGTCAATTCTATCAATAAGATTCGCAATTGTATTTTAAAGAAATTAATTATATAAAGAATTGTTAATAATGCACTTCAGCGCGCCCTCTCGGATTCAACTATTTAACTATAACTATGATTGAATCTCAATACCAACTTTTATCCTATAAAAAAAGGCTGTATTTAGGGTTTTCTCGGCAATTATTCCAATTTTTTCGCCATAAAAATCATCCTTGGACTTTAACGAACATTTAAAAAAATAATTGGCCAAATTGGTCAAGGCGTTATTGAGTTATGCGCTTACCAACAGATTTTTCGATTCATTTTTATATTAGAGAAGCTATCTATTAAATTTCAATTGTAAAAAATGTAGATTTAATATATTTTTTGACGTGATAACGTCTTTAAAATCGTTTTAGTCGGGTGACATGTTCAGAAACTGTGTCACGAGGCCTCTCGAGGCCGATCGCAGGTATACCCCCCTCTCGTTATAACGAGAGAGAGACGGACCGATCTCCCGTCTCATCTCGAGCGCTGCCAGTCATTCCGTGAAACTTGTCACGCGGAATCCACACGAGCGGAGGCAGGCATAGCGTTCGAGTGAGTGGACCGATCTTCCGTCTCTCTCACTCTAGCGGCATACAAACGAATGGAGATTTTCTCGTGCGGTTAAGTTTTCGTTGAATGTTTAACAGTAAAACAAAATGTGAAGTGCGAGTGAAGTGTTACAACAATTGCAACAAACAAAACTTATATCACCAATAAGACGTTATCACGTAAACATCTCGATCGTAAACCTACTTTACAAACAACCATTTTTTGATTAATATTACGGCTGCATGTATGATTATGTAGAAATAATATTAATATGCATTATTTTGATTACGGGAATCCATCACAATCAACCGCAGGCGCTGGTTTCGGTTGCAGAATGGTATGCGCGACGTCTTTCCGTCAAATTATTATCGAAACATTATCATTTTTCATAGCCACGACCAACTGCGCCACTCGGAACTATCGCGATCCATTTTTTACACCCGCATGCCCCATGGCCCCGTATGCGCTGCGCGACGACAAACACGTCGCGCGCGCTCTCGACGTGATTAATTCATGGTAATGTACAAAAAGTTCGGGGCCGCGCTGCGGCCATACGTTATCAAAATTGGTTGCGTTTTTAGGCGCTGTGTTCAAAATTCGCATCACACACAACCAACTGCTTCACATTTTCATCGCGTTTTGAAAATTTCAAAATCATAGCGGAAAAATAAGTGAAATATTCTCGACGTCGAATCTTGTCGTTAATAAGAATTATATTTTAATAACACGCTTCCGATATTCGTTGCTGGCGCGCTGTGTGCGGCTAATGCTTAATGATTTGTGCGCTTGGCGGCGATTTTCAATTAATAAGCAGCGCGCCGTCGAGCAGATGTTACGTACAATACAGACGCGAAATAATGGTGGCAGCGCGCATCTTTCGGACATAATGGAACGCGCATCTGTTCTTGCCGGTGTCGGCGGCGGTGGCTTTTGACCCCGAGGCGTGCGGAATTAGCACGCGTCGTGAATTAGAAACCATTAAATTGTTATGTTCCGGTGCATCTTTATTACGTTTACCTACGCGCGTAACCACCTTCGGGGGCGGCGAAACTTTCGACCCGGACGGGCACCTCGCGGCCTCCGGGCCGGTCGTTATTGTCGTCGGCGCGCACCACTAAAACGCCTCGAATCAGGACAACCTACTGCCCTACAGCATCCAAAACATCAACAGCACTCCAGAACCGCTGTTAATTTGGGTCGAAAAACAAGGACTTAACTTGATTCAAGAAAATTACTTTTGGCTTTTATGCAAACATACTTTCAGAATGAGTGTTATAAGTTACAAGTCTCATTTTACGCAATTAATGCGTATTATTTTTTGAGTTAAGTTGAAAAATGAATTTTCACAAACGGATTTTTTGGCTTTTTGGTCATTTTATTATCCGCCGACCAAGATAAATGATTGCCGCTGAAACATAATCGATGGTTGGTGCCACATCTAGCTGACAAGCAACAAATAAAACGCAACAAAATGAAAGCAAATGCAAAAAATGCAATTTTTCAAATTTTTGATTTTAATAAATATTTTTTCTGCTTTCCAGCGATGACAGATGACCCACGCTTTGCCGAGCCTATCCCCAACGTCACAGTAGCCTTAGGCAGAGACGCAAATCTACCCTGCGTCGTTGAAAATCTCGGCACATACAAGGTAAGTCAAAAAAACAAAGAAAAACTCGTAAAAATAAAATTTAACAATTTCTAGTATAAAATTCAAAATTACAAGTCTCTAAAATAGGTTACAATGTAAAATGTATGCAACTAAATATGCACACACGTGAAAAGGAAGAGGAGGTGCTCGAGCGCGTCCAATTTTTTACCAATTTTAAACACGATCTACCAGCACGCCGCCCCAGCGACGCCGAGAACATTGTGTAAGCCTTATTTAAGATCGGACAAGGCGCAATATTGTCGGATGATGAATGAAATCGACCAGCGAAGCGCGCGAGCAGCGAGCGCCGGAGCATAACGAAAGTATAACACATAAAACACCCCCAACGCCAAAGAAACGGCACGACACGTCGGCGAATAAAGCAAAAAAGATCCGAACGTGATTTATACGTGCCTTCCTGACTCTCCGCCGGCGGCCAGAAAGGGGAAGCGAAAAATTTAGTGTTAATTGCAATCGGATCGCAGCTCCATTTATCTCAGCGACGTTGCGAGACAAGCGCTAAACGCAGCAAAACTCAACGTATCACAGAGTCATCACGATATTGAACATTGAACCACACAAAGAAAAAAATACATCATGTAACATATAATTTGTGTCTATACTGCAATCTAGAAATTAACGCGCACGGTGATATAAATCAAAGTGAAATAATTTATAGTCGTGGGTGATTGTTATCATTATCGTTATTAGCCACATGGGCTGGAAGCTGTGGGTGCGCAGATAGAAGGTAATTGTGACTTGTTTGCATCGCGCATCATAATATTTATGCATCGTGCGATGCGAATATTTGACAAACATTCATTTCGTAATTGCGCACACACAAAATTACACAATACAATGTTAGCTATGCAAGCCAATACACACTAAAATGCACATCTGGTTGCATATGTCACATTACATTGTTGTCAGACTTTGACTAACGTTTAAAACAATTTGCATCTTCAATTGGACATTTCAATATTTTCAAATGAAATATTCAGCGTATTTAATTAATTTGGTGATTGTATAATTAATATTTATTAATTTTGGCGATGTTAATTAAAAATATCGATAATGAATTTTTGGCAGTTAATGAAAAAATTAATATTTATTAAGTTTGTGTAATGCTGAGCATGTAAAAATAAACCACCAACGCCATGGTTATTAAGATTTAAATCAGCCGCCCCTTTTCATGTGAGGATTCAAAAGCTTACGATAATCTACGGCGTAAATATTGGCAAATATTAACAGTGACAGCAAATATTACCATCATCACTTTCAAGTTGTTTGTGTTATGTTTTCCTACACGTATCTAAGATTGTGCTTACACTAACATCGCTTAAATTTTCTTAAGAATTTTCCGATAATGTCTTCGTTGAACGGTGTAAAAGTTGAAAGTTGGAAGTTGTGCGCTAATAAAGTAACGAGCTTCGATCGACGCGACGATCAGCGCTGAGATTTCAACCGGGGGCGGTGGCGCGGTGTCGTCGTGACGCAAGAGGGTGATAAAACCAAACGCCGTGGCTGTAGACGTCGCGGCGCGCTCGGATTACAATCGAAGTGCCGCGTAAACGATGTTTGCGGTTGTAAAAGCTGAGATACAAGCGCGCAAGTGGTGCGCGGGCGGCAGGCGGGGGAGCGGGTGTGAGCCGGGTGATTGAGACTGTCGCAATCAATCAAAAGCAGGTGGAAATTGATCGCCGAAGCAAACGTGATAGAACTTCAACTGTGCTGCTTCAACTTCCACTTTTGGCAGACAATACGATTTAGTGGAATACGAAATAGAACATCACCCCGCTCAACATTGAATATCGGAGAAATTATTTGGTGTTTACGAGTATCAATGTGATTTAATTTAAATTATATCAAAAGGACAATCGATTAGCTGTCATTTAAAGTATTAAAAAGAGAATTTTATGATAACATACAGGGCGTTACAGAAGATAAATCAAATGTTACTATATTAAGTAAGTATCATGTAGTTTAAAAACGTTTAGCAACGCGCAAGCTACACCCCGTGACTAAAATCCGTGAGTAAAGTACTTTAGTCACGACCTCGGCCGTCTGTGTTTAAAGTATCACTTGGAAGTAGATAAAATAAATTAAAACTAAAAATACAAGGTATTTTCATAAATATTTTCATTCAAAAAAAACTTTTATTGAATTTAATGTAAAATTCCTTAAATGAGTGAAAAATATAATAAAATATTTAGTAAATGAATTCCTCCGGCGTTAATTAAACAAAACAAATGACTAATATGATGTGCCCGGGCGAGTTTGCACATTTTCGCTAAATTTGCACCCGTAAATTTAAAATATTAATATGTGCGAAAAGCCTGCCGGCTGGTATCATTGTGCAATTGTGTCGTCGGAACGCGACGCCAGCAATGGCAGCGGTGGCGGCGGCGAGCGGCCTAATATAATCCGTGATTTTATGTAAATAATTTCGCTTTGTTCCATCAACCCGGGTGGGCGGCGCAGGCACTTGATGAGCCGACAAGCTCGACACATCCAGCCGGCTGGCATATCCCCAATGAACAAGCAAACTTTTTAAATTTTTGATACTCGTCGACACAACACCAGCGTTTATATTTAATGATGTCACAGTTAACAACACATGCATGTTCATCATACGATTTTGTTCGGGGAAGTATTATATGATTGGTCTGTGTTTAAATTTCGTAAATCTCACGATTGTAATCTAATCGGATAACAATATACGACTAAGGGCAGAGGGAAATCGGAAGTGAGTTGGAAACTTTCTTCCGGCACGCACTTCCGATCTCCGGCGATTCGCTTGCGGAGGAAACGATGTGTGAAGCAGTTGCAGACGGAAGTCGACAATTGCTTTCATAGAATTAAGTCAAAACCTAACCTAAAATCTAAATTTTCCGGAAATAGTGCGGTCTTAAAATAAACGTGCATTTTATTAATGGCGACTGCAACCAATTGAAACTCGAATTCCGAATGCGGAAACAAAGTTTAAATTTCACACAATAAATTACTCAACATTCGCAATGAAAATTTCCTGATCAAACGAACGCAATTTCGACATATCGCTATATTAAACATATCAAAGAAAATAAATACGTTTCCGTTTAATTAATTTCCGTCTTCCGGTTTGGCACACCGTCGGCGTGTCGGTGTGTTTTTCATCGCGCCGACGAAATGAAACGACGACGACGACGAATTAAGTAATTAATTAATAATTTCAATTTGTTGCCTTCTTACAGCCGGGCACAAACTAAAAGCAAGTGTAGAAGCGGATATCGCAATCGGGCGTCCTCTCGTCCGCAGCGTGTTAACCTGATTAGTGTAACCCGTTTAGTGTTAATCTTCTTATAAGCGCTGCTCGAGCGACGTGCGCTCAACCGCCTCCACCGCCGCCACCGCCGACAAATTGATTTTATTTGTAATCTTAGACGATGATTTTAACTACGCGTATAGAGGAGGCTTAAGGGGTTGAAGAGCACCCAAAGACAATACTATTAAAATTATGTGGAAAGCTAAGAGATAATAAAAATAAAATTTTACTCTGCGTAATTATTTAAATGAAGACATAATCGTGTAGGAGTAATATGCAAATGATGAGTTTAATGCAGCGTGTTATTATCAATTTGCAAATTGAATGAATTTCGTTATTGTTTAAATAAGTTCAATATCAACTAATGACAGGTTAGCGTGTCGGGAAGCGTTAATTGCTTCCCACGTGGCTGCCGCAACAAAAGATGGCACCCGAGCAGGTGAAGAAGGAAGCCGGCAGTGGTGGCGGCGGCTGTGGCTGCTCGCCACATAGTCGGTTCGGCGGCGGCGGTGCCGTTCGCGCCTCCAGTTACATGTTTTATGTTAATGGAGAAAAACATTATCATAACTCGGGAAAATACAGCTGCGCACCCATTATCATATCCGGGCGGCGTGTACGACGCCGGCAGATAATAAGCGTCGTCCTCATAATTGGACTAACTAACAGCGGGCGCGCCAAACTTGCGCTTTCCGCAAATATCCTCTTAATTTTCGCCGGCAGCGCTAGGCGAAACATCTCGCGTTTTAAAAACGAATTAACACCGAACGATTTCACCGCACGCGCGCGTACAAAAGCCGCCGAGCGCGCCGGGGAAAAACTCGCGCAAGCATTATCATTATCTGTTTGAAGGAAAATTGGGTGAAAACTGCGTCTGCGATGGCAATTATCGCTTTAATACTTTTTTATTGCCCAGCGGACAGATGGAAACGGCAAAGCACGAGTAAGCGAAGACAATGACAAACCGGAACGGCGGAAATACTCGCATTTTTTCAATTGCCCCCGTTCTCCATTCAATTCTAGATAATTTATCGCCCATTGTATTACTTCCGGTTTTAACTCACCTGGATAAAGATACCGCGTTACCCTTTTCCCTCGGGTTACGTTTCGAATCTAAAACAAAGGAATAAAATTATTATTAAAACTTTTTCTGTGCTTTTTGCATTTTATATTTTATTTTAGGACGGCGATGATCTTCATATCCAGTTTTGCATTTTGCGTGTCGCAGCAGGTTTCCGGCCGGCAGCTGGTTGTTGGTAATGATCTGCGGCGGCGACACGACTCACGGCCCCCGGCGGCCCCGCTGGGACTGTGGCGCAAACAGGGGGATTGTTTAGCCCCGAGATTATCTTACAACGCGGCATAATAATCATCGATAACCGGCGCCGCGCGCGGTTTCCTCGGCGCCTTATTATACGGATATTATAATAGCACTACCCCAGCAGCACACAGCAATTTTACCCTCTTACACATCCACCCCCGGTGCCTACTTGTCTACCGCCACACATTCCACATTGTCTTTTGCTGCGCCAATGAGAAAGTTGTGGCATAAAATTGAGAAAGAGATGAAACTGGAGCAGCAGTCGAAATCGAGCAAAAGGCCGCACTTAGCGAAACATGTAAATTCGCAAAAAGGGAAAATTTCGCCGTCGTTCGCATACTTTCCGTATTTCACGAGGCGTACATAAGGAAATTTTCAAGTTCATAAATATTTTCGGAATGTTCTTTGTAAGTTATAATGTTCGGATTTGCGCGCCGCGGCATTCAATATCGATTTCGAATGTTCATGAATGATTTCCACATTAAACGATTATCAAACCCCGGAAAAGTTTTTATCGGCGCGCGTGCATTATTCAAAATTTAGCTTTTCCACACCTCGAGAGGATTTTTCACGCGCTGCACGCTGACATTTGCGATATTTTCTCACCTGCCGTTTACGACAATGCAATTTTGCCAGCGTGCGCAACATTTGAAGGCGATGCGGAGGGTGAGGCTCGGTTGGAAAACGAGGGCAAAACGTTTATATTTACATTATCGTATCAATGCCGGCTGAATCCCACGCGCAAACATGCAAAAAACACATTTACATACTGCGGCTGGTTTAAATTTCCGAATACCCGACGATTTGTTAGCAGAATCAACAAAATCAAAAATCTCTCCGGCCCCAACAATATTTTTTTCATCTCCATTGGTCGGACTAATTTATTTGCTGTTCAATTTTTGCCTGTTGCTCCCTAGATACAATTTTTTCCGGCGTGGCGCGGCTCAGTTTTTTCGTTGTTTTCAAATATTTTTTCGACGCCGCGCTGCCACCAGAAATTGATATTTTCCTGTTTTTTGTTTGCGCGCGAGTTCGGCAGAGGGCTAAACTAATGCATATATGCATGAGCGTTGCAACTTATTTCGGTATTCAAAGTGATTCGCGGTCGAATCGAATCAACATCGTCGCTGATGCGTTTCCGATATCGTCCTACGTCTTCGTCGGAAATCTAAAAAAAAAAAAACCTCGACGAGTTGCAGAAGAAAATAATGTCGACGTGTTTTTTACGATTGAAGAAAACAAGAGTGACTTTTTAAAAATGTTTTGATGATTTGAATCTTTAAAACAAACACGTAGCAAGTCGGGCGCTTGGTTTGCTTGCGGTAAATGATGCAGTCAATTCGAAGCGGCGCGCAATATTTTTGTGGCTGCATCTCAGCAATGGTGCAATATATCGCGGCGCAGGGCGAACGTGTTACTTATGTTAGTGGTAAATTTATCACGCGCGCTGCGATGCATCATTGAAGGAAAAAACCAGCACTATAGTTGCAGCATAAACGAAAAGACGATTTTTCTTTCGATGATTATTTCGTTTTTTCACATTTAGGCGAAAATCATTAGTTTCTGCACTATTTTAAAAGTAAATCTATCTATAATGTAAAAATGAATCGCAAAATTTGTTGGTAAGCGCATAACTCAACAACGCCTAGACCAATTTGGTCAATTCTTTTTGTAAATGTTCGTTAAGGTCCAAGGATGGTTTTTACGGCGAGAAAAATTCGAATTATTACCGGGAAAAACCTAAAGACAGCCCTTTTCTATAGGATAAAAGTTGGCATAGAAATTCAATCATAATTGCAGTTAAATTGTTGAACCCGAGATGGCGCGCTGAAGTGCATTATTATCAATTCTTTATATAATTATAATTAATTTCTATAAAATAAAGTTGCTAATATTACTTACTGATAGAATTGACACATACCATGTCTAAGACAAGAGAGTAAAAAACGAATTACATTTTTATTAAACACTACCAGGGCGAAGTCGCAGGCAAAAAGTTCAATACAAAACATAATTTTGCGTTCGTTTGGATATATTTCTGTTCACAAACCGCAATTTTGTGCCGTTTCCAAAGGACAACATTCCCCTAATCGCAATTTATTTTAATTAAGCGGCGTGATTAATGCGCACGATAAATTTGAACATTTCGTTGAGTAAATATGTTAATTACGCGAATGCGACGAACAAATTTCAAGATACACACGAACGCAACTGTTTACACGCTGCCCCATCCCGCACAAAAAAGCCGCAAACGCGAGGGGTGCTCAGAAAAAATAAACAGAACGACGCGGACGATGTTTGTCGTCGGCGTTTTATCGGCAATTCGCCGCCGTCGTTAAAACATTTGATGCGCTTGTAAATCACTTCAATCGTTTATTTGCCAATTGAACTTTGGTCAAAAGAAACAAAATATATTGCTATCTAATTCATCATACATTACAAATTAGCACAGATTAATCTGTAGTTGGAATGGCAGCGTGAGAAGTGGAATTCATACACACAGCTGAGCTGAAGTCAAGCACATTCCGCTGGTGCTGGAGAATTTCGTTTGTTCACAAACATGAGTGCTATACACATATAGACGCATGTGTGTGCAGCTCCCCAGGTTATATTAATTGCTTCATGAATGCTTAGTGCCATTTAAAAGTTTGACAACAATGCGCGTGCATGTCAAGCGTGTAAACAAGCGGAAACGCGTAAAACAGAAGCGATGACAATGCCAGCGCCAACAGATGGCGGTACTGGCCACTTCATAACCTCACCTCATCAGTTTGATGATGGAGAATTACAATTGTAGAATTGTCATAAAACAAATTGAACTAAGAATTAGTTTAATGTTTAATACTTGAGATGCAAAATTAAGTTTGCAGACATCATCTCGATGAAGGAATATCTTGTGAGCTATATGTTAAATTAAAGCTGGAATTGCAGTGATTTAGTATTCTGCCCCCTCTCTGGGGAGTGTGACATTTCTACGCCCACGAAAGGCGTTAATCAATTACATCGCTTCGACGCCGAATGCCAAATCCTCGGCGTTTGCACACGTCGACGCGTGCCGTGAAAACACTCGCAGCACTCACTCTAATGAAGTGTTTAATTGCTGGATAAAACACACTCCCACGACAATGTCCCACACTCCCATTACCACCCAACAATCACCTACTCTACAACAACGCGGGTAACGAGTGTTTCTCGTTTTCTCTTTCTGCATCTTTAGATAACAATTCCTCGAATTCCCTCCTGCGCTGTTCCTGTTGCCGCTGGATAGACATTGTAGAATTCTCCGGGGAGATAAATTGCAATCGGGAGACAAGGTTCCAGGCACAAGCATACACGGATTCATGTTGGGTGGAATTGGTGGAGATTTTGGGGCCCAGTAATAATCCGACGCTAATGCGGGAATTTAAGCTAATAGGATATCCATACGCTCGCTTGTTGGAGATACCCGGGTATATCTCTATACTAGGGTATCTTTGAAGTAGCGATCAAGCTCACGCATCGCTAGGTCCAAGATTATGGCTCCCAAACTCACCGAATAAACAATCGGCTTTCGCTAACTAAAACAACGAATATCGATATCTACGACATCACGACATACAGAATTTAGGTAGCTACACCCGGGTAGTGTAAATTAAGATCACCGAGGAGATGACAACCAGAATGGAATAACTAATCGGCGCGCAGCTCATGAATGATTCCGAGCGTCCATTGCAACTTGCGCGGTTTCAAGTTTCAAGTTGGAACTTGTCAACTTGCGTTGAAGTGGTCTGGATGTCTGGTAACTCTATATCGCTTTCAGAAAAATGCCCTCGACCCCAATGGGTAATTATCGCAATGAAAAAAGAGACGGCCATTATTCGCTGATGTGTTTACCTTGGGTCCTTGCGTCCTTATACCGAGAGGGTGGATGTTTGTTAACTGTGATTTTTTTTTATTTGGCTTGCAGGTCGCATGGATTCACATAGATCGTCAGATGATCCTGACAATACATCGACATGTCATCTCCCGGGTGCCACGCTTCAGTGTATCGCACGACAACGCCAAAACATGGCTGCTGCACGTCAACAGTGTGCAGCAGGAAGACCGCGGCTACTACATGTGTCAGGTGAACACCAATCCGATGATCAGTCAAGTCGGATACCTTCAGGTCGTCGGTGAGTCCTAATACCAGTTTCTTTGTCTTCTTAGACTGTCGTCTCATCAGTTCCCATTCGCATTCAATTAGACTCACGCTGCTCCCTTCCCCCTCACTCTCTAATAACTATTTATCTTTTCCGCTTCCTACTTTTCTGTTTTCTCATTTCGCGTTTCGTATTTTCATTTTCATTTATGGAACTTTATTACCGGCGCGCGCAAATTAGGGTTAACGCAATAAGTGGATTAATCGACTTCTTCGTCTTCCTTTGTGTCTATTATTGCTGCAGGACAATGGATTTACACACACACACACCGGTGGCAGTGGTCGGAATTAATTTGTGTTATTGTTGCAGTGCCGCCCAACATATTGGACTCGGAGAGCACTCAATCAACGGTGGCGATCCGCGAGAATCAAAACATCAGCCTCACTTGCAAGGCGGACGGCTTTCCCAGCCCCAAGATAATGTGGCGGCGTGAGGACGGACAGGCCATTTCGGTCGAGCGACGCAAGAAAGGTACGACGACGAAATAAAACGAATACAACTCCTGACAATTGATAAAACGCAATTTGTCAAGTCGCTGTTCCCATCCATCTTCGCGGGGGCTTTAATAATTTTCCTATTTCTTTATTTACTTCTCCTTGGGTGGATAAAAGTAATGCATCTTGGATAACTTGAGCAAGTCATGGGCCTCTGCCTGCAAACTGTGAGGCGTGTGTGTGGGCAGGGGTTTCGTGCTGCTCGGATGCAATATTAAATATTTATAGAAGGCTAACCCTCGAAGAAGCGCAAGCACAAGCTACCCAGTTACCCGGGAGTACCGACCATAAACATATTTCACGGTCCGCGGGGTCCGCCCAGAGTCCTTGGGTCTTTAAACGCTTTACAGCCCGCGCGCATCCAGAATGACAGGGGTCTACACACAGTCTACATACTCTACATACAGGACCCCACACCTCAGACGCAATCTTTTACATAATACACTTAATGTAAAGTGTGCACTTTAATTAAACCAAACGTGACTTCCAACCTAACCTAACAAAAGATAACCAGCGAATAATTTAGATTCCACGGACGCGTTAGATATTGTCGAATTGGCGAGACAATTATTTGTAATTAAGACGCCTTGATGGTTTTGTGGAGGTTATGACTGGCGTAATTTTGACTTGGAGATCGTGAACCGCCGTGAAGATGAAGCATAATAGCGAACAATGGCGGCACGTCGCATGCAATGCAACCGCGTGAGCCAGGAGGAATACAGATTGTTGAAAGCAGCCGGGAGTGGAAGTTCTCCTCGCTATGTGTGTGTACGCGCGCGCGGGACCAAAGAGTCTCCTTTAATTAACTCCGGCGTGTCGACCTGAAGGAATTCCGAACGCGGTCGGCGAGCCAACTAGCCCCCGCATTCCCAGTTGTCGATATTAAGCAATTCGATTAAATTCGCGCTGGGATAAAGAAGAAAGGATGCACTGCGCGCCGCAGAGTGCACCTTAGAACTTAAATTAAACGTCAGAAACGCGAACATTAAATATACATACATTTTCGCGTGTAATTTCTAAACTATTCAATGGATTTTCAAAATTTTCACGGTATATGATACATAAATAAATAATCTATGCATGTGCAAAAATACAAGTTTAACAAATAATAAACAATGCTTGAAATAACAAAAAATGGAAAATTTTATAAATAAAAAGTATTTATTTGTATGCGCTGAACCTTTTTTCTATTTTGTATAAAATTTCCATGTCTCCCTTTGCTTGAAATGTTAAAGATACCCTCTCTGCTCACGACCTTTACCGCCGCCGTTGCCGCCGCCGTGGCTGCTAAATATTGCAGCGGCTAATCTAACGTCGGGTCCGCGCCCGCAGCGGACGTTATCATTTATGCAGATAAAACGCGAGATGAGAGCCCTTCAATTTCAGCCGCGCATCCACACACAACCCCTAAACATTCTCTACCTACGACGAGTGTACGCACGCGCAACAAAAGCAAATTAGGCACATGCCATCAAGATACGCGTACGTCGACTTTGATGTTGATTTAAATATGATTGATTCGCCTCGAAACTCGTGTGGAACATAATTGCTAATCATAAATTTAAACACCGAACAAACTGAAATGCCTGCCGGGTTGTGTGGGGGCGGCGGTGGCGGAAATACACAAAGAAAAGCAACCGGGGAGTGTCGAATTTCATTCGGTTGGAAGTTGCGAAGCCTAATTGATTGCACCGATTAGATTTCATTTAATTGAACTGCGCAATAAAAATAAACAGCACTTAAAGGTTTAAGTTTTTAATTAAATTCCAGTTTTGCACTTTGCGGATCGATATTGTGTTTGAAAAGTTGAAGGGAGGTCATTTTCTTAGTTGGGAAAATAAAATTGGATATTAATTTTCAATTAATGTTAGATTCTTTTGCAAGCAATTATAATAAAATAAACAACTCATGATTTCCTTTGTAATTTCTAAAGATCTAAATTATTTAAACTATTTCTGTTATTTAATAAATCATAATTTAATATTTTAAGAGTTGAATATTGTTGTTTTGAATGCGAAAATGCGAATACTCATATAATATTTAAGAATACAAACTATTCGAGTTGAATGCAGTGCATGAATGTACACGGCGCGAAGATATGCGGATGTAAACAAACACAACTGATAAAAACAAAACCTGCTGCACAAAATCGCGTGATCTCACATCGACACGAGTTTAACACTACCAAAATACACAACTTGAAGCGATAAACTAGATTCTTATTTTCTACAAATATCTGCATACTAGCGCCATCTCCAGGCGTAATAATGAATTATATTTAAGTAATATGCGCGCACAAGGTCACTTATACTCAGTTATATCCAAACAAATATAGTAAAACATATTAATTAATAATTAAATCTATTGAAGTTAAATCTCTGCATATTCTGTACATTAAATGGTTTTACAACCCGCCGGAATGTAGTAAAAGATCGAATTGCATGCAGGCAACGTATGCATCGCAAATTAAATCCAATGGAAATGTTAATTAACGCACCCAATTCGGGTCGGACGTCTGGCGTGTATCACGTTCACAATCTCGGGATCATCTAATAAGGTCAGCGCACTAATGTTTGCATCATGACCTACCTAACATACACTCTCACCCGCATACTGACCCGCGTACATTATTCAAAAACATAAATTTTAACGCAACAATTAAAGCACAAAACGCGTAGGTACCCGACTCTGCCCACAATAAAGGTGGATATACACACTGGACTGCAATTAAAACCCAATTACCGCATAAACCGAATTTGATACGAGCGGAAACAATGCGCACATAATTTGCACGGCAAGATTTGTGGCCACGGCTTTTTTATATTTTTTATTTCTATAGAGAAAACACAAAGCACAAACCGAAGCCGAAGAGATAAAAATAATTTAGCGACACTCACCCTAGAAACATTTATATTATGAGTATGCAGCGCTCAAAGTAAAACCAGTGTGGTGGGTGGGTTGCAGACATCGCAAAATACACCCCCACATATTTCTTCGCAAGGTGGCAAAGCTCCTTCGGACATTTTAATCTATAGAAATGAAATATAATATGTGACTAAGTAGGAAATAGCAGCTGTTCCGTTTTTAAGCATTTCCTCGACGTTTCTACGCTTTCACAAACAAAAAACACACCAAAAATAACAAAAAAATAGAAGGGATGAAACAAGTAGAGGCATGAGAATTGTCGCAGTACGTGAATGTTTTACAAGCGGCCGTTTCGCAAGAAAACACGGCTGTTTTTTTTTGTTGCTCAGGGTTGATATAGTCCCTCGGAATAAACCCCGGCTTTCCAACCCTTATTTTTCACAAACGACATTTCTTTAAATAATATTCCTTAAAACACTATTAAAAAATAAACCAACAAAGAGGAGTGGGGGTAGTACGAGTAGATAATCCGTATCCAAGTTTCACTTACTGAAATTGATTAAATCGAGCCTCGAATATCGGCCGTTAATCAGCAATCAAGTTGAAATTCTCATTAAACTTGCGACTTTTATCTGCACGGCAGATATATCCGTCGCTTGACTAAACTACCCCAATCCAAAAATACACGCTATATCCAATACCCTACACCTCCCATGTGTGTTGAATGTGTGTGCGTGTGGTGGCGGCGGTCTTTAATCTTACCGCCGCCGCCGCCGCCGCCGTAATATACTGGCCATCTCTCGCGGCTGCTGCCGAAGCTAATTTATCGCTGGACTCTCGTCTTCTTCTGAATGTGTTCGCAGTGAACGTGTACGACGGCGACCAGCTGAACCTGACCCGCATCAGCCGGACGGAAATGGGCGCGTATCTGTGCATCGCCACCAACGGAGTGCCGCCGTCGGTCAGCAAGCGCATCATCGTCGACGTCGAATGTGAGTAACTTTTCGCATTTCCGTGCAATTATTTCGATTTCGATGTGAAATTTTAAACATTTCAGTTGTAATTAGGTACGCAGGGAAATCTCAAGATGGTAATCATTTGTTTCGACCCCTAAACGCATAATAATTGCGTCCATTTAAAACAGATTACATTCCGATTAAGCGCGCGCTCTTTAATTGCCTTATTTATACAGCGTTTTCTTGAGCGCACCAATTAAAAACGCCCGATTTACCGCAAGCGCTAGTTTCCATCATGTTTTCTCTTTGGAGGCCTAACAATTTAATGAGCTACGAAACAAGCGGCGGTGGCGGCCGCTCAAAAATCCCCAAGAAAAACAGCTTTTTCTGCGCCAATTTGCAAGCGAAACGAAGAAAACAAAACGCAAATTACGTGCCGGCGCACCCTCTGAATGCCGGATGCAACCGCGAACCACCGCCAGCTACCATCCGCAAATTGACTTGTTTTCGTATAATTATGTAAAATTTTCAATTCTTGGGGCGGCGCAAGGGCGCAAAACGAATTATCTTCGTTACAATCATTGCTGCGGCATGTCAGAAAGTCATGTCAACGCAAAAAAAAAATACAAAATTTTCTCGTTTCGCTAACTAAAATCACCTGCAAGACATTTTACACCATAAAATATTAATTTATAAAATAAAAATGAATTGTAAAATCTGTTGGTAAGCGTATAACTCATCAACGCCTAGACCAATTTGGTCAATTTTTTATTAAATGTTCGTTAAAGTCCAAGGATGGTTTTTACGGCGAGGAAAATTCGAATAATTGCCGGGAAAACCCTAAAGACAGCCCTTTGCTATAGGATAAAAGTTGGCATAGAGATTCAATCATATTTATAGTTAAATAGTTGAATCCGAGATGGCGCGCTAAAGTGCATTATTAGCACTTCTTTATATAATTAATTTTTTTAAGTAAAATTATGAATCTTATTAATAGAATTGACACATACTATGTCTAGAACAAGGCAGTTAAAACGAATTTCATTTTTATTAAACACTACCGGGACGAAGTCGCGGGCATAAGCTAGTATAAAATAAAATCTAAAACTTTCGCAAGTATTAATTGATTAAAAATTAATCTTAAAGATATTGTCATTGTCATAAAAATCGGTATTGCGTGCGGCGGAAAAGTTGTAGTTGCCTTTTGTGAGCGCGCAATTTTATTAAAGCGATGACAAAGAAACGGATTAACCCCGCAGAAATTTCCTTGGTTCTTAATGAGTTTTTTCCTGCGTTCGCTTTCCTCAACAACCCACACAGCGCGACTAAGAAATTCGCTTCGAGCATTAAAGTACAAAACGGAAAATTGGGATTAAAATTTTAATAATAAACAAGTACAAGTACGCGCACAAGTACAACAAGTTGCACTACTAAGTATCTGCGCTAATTTTATTTTTCCTCCCGCATTGTTAATTAACCTAAGCTGATTAGATGAGTTGTTGACGATGAAAAATGAACAAAATGCAAAATTCAATTTCGAAACACGTTAGTAAAACTTGTTAACGCTAGTAAAATGCTTATGTGGCTGTTTGAATGGGTAAATATGTGTATGTGTGGTGTGATTAATTTACCCACCAAGTACGAGAATTAATTAATATTTTAATAAATTAATATCATTAATAAAACGAGTGGCGATGAGCAGACAAGAGTTTAAACGACGCACCAGCGTTATTTTGCGCTGAACAAGCGCCCAACGCCGAACAAACAAAATATGTTATCGGGGGATGGCGAGGGCGCGACACGCCACCCCAAAGCGCACGAACAAGCAACCCTTCGCCCGCCATCTCCATCTCCATCTCGTTCGGCGCGCCGAATTAATCATTCTCAGTTTGCCTTCGCTTTGTGTAATCCGCTGTATCTTCATTTGCTCAACATTACGCGCACCCTCACGAGTAAAAAGACAACAACAACCCCATCAACCCTCTCCACCACCAGCACTACCATCCGTACTAAAACTCAACGCGGTACTTTTGTCAGATTTTGCATTTTACTTGCGCATGTTTTGTTTTGTTTCGCATTCTTTGAGACGAAACGAAGAAGAGGGTCGAAACTCGCCGCCGCGACATTAACTCGCGCGTATTAGATAATGAATGAGGAATGAACCGGGCGAAACGGGGCGACAAACGACCGCACAAAGGCCGCACCTTCGAAAGCTGGAAAGCTCTGGAAGCTCAAAGCTCAACGGAGAGCTTTTCGCAGCGCGAAGAGAGAAATTGTTGCAATTGCGGAGGCGCCGATGAGAAATTCTAACAAATTTGCCTTCAGAAGCTCACAAGTTGAAATAAGGATAAGATTCATCAAAAAACAAAGAAATGGTAAATTTACAAATGAATAAATATTACAATATGTGAGAATATGCACTATTTTGGCAATTGGTGGAATTGTTCGAGAGTTGGTACATCAATTGAATCCGAATTTGTATCGAACATGTACAATTCGAAATTCGCTCGTGCTTACCTTACGTTCCGATAAACACAAAATGCAAACACAGTAAGCGCACACCGCGAACGCATCGAGCAAGTGTTCTATTTTATTATCCGAAGCGACGTGCGCATTTCGCCGCACGGCGCGCGCGGGCGGCTTGAATTTCCGCCTCGGCTGCTGCCGCGCCGAGTCAAAACGCAAACGCAAACTTCGCTAATAACGATGCACAAACAGCGGCGCGAGTTCGGCGTGTGTAATCGATACAATCGTTATTTCGGCATAACCTCACTCTACACATTCAAACATTCCCCTATGAACCGAGCAAAATACACAATGCTAGACAAACTTTCGCAGCAACCTGCTGCAGCTAATATTGAGCGAATCATTGTCATTGCAGCTAAAACGCAGCTAGTTACATCGTAAATGTGAGCATTTATAATTTATTAAAAATGACGGATTGTGGTAAACCTCACGGAAGATAGGACATAACCGTAAAACCTCACCGGCAATAAATACGCGCGCCCGCAAACGGCGATATCGATGCCTTATTGGCGAATTTACTACCCTCCAAGCCGACTTTTATTAGCCGGCGTGCGCCGTACGGGCCGGGCATAAAAAATCGCGCGACGCACAAATTAAATTTTAATGCTTTAAGGTCTTCACCCTCTTCACCCTCACCCACATAGGCTTTACACACCGCATCGAGAATCAACAAGTGCTAATTATTACCTCGCACCTTCAACATAATTTCGTCTTTTATTTCTAATCAACTCGATTTCATATATGTTTGAGTAATAAAAATATTATGACAGCGTGAGTGGTATTGTGACACGATTCGGCTATTAATAAGTGAAATCGGGAAACCACCTGCGGGTATTATGCGGATGTAGAAAAGACGACAAGCTGACAGGACGTCGGTCCGACACGCGCGCAGCAGGAAAACGAAGAAAGAGGTTGTGGAAAAATGCCAGCCGAGGGTCGATACGGTCGGAACGTCTCAGGTCTCGTAAAATAACACAATAGAGGCGATATAATGGCGGGGCGGTCGTCATTTTGACGTTTAATTTCTTTCAGTCACACGCTACTATTTTATAGCGAGTGTTATTACCGATATTAACAAGGACGATTGTGTGGAACATCATTTAACATCAATAAATCCGTTTATTAATGTATTATCTCAACCGGATCTTAAGAAATATCAAAAAGTATGTTTGTTCCGCTTTATTGCAAAAACTAGGGAAGCAATTTTGATAAAACTTGGTAAAATTATAGGTTATTTATAGGAATAAACGATAAGCTAACTTTTGTTGTATAAATAAATATCTAAGAGTTGTAAAATTAGGGTTAGAAGTTTTGCATGATGTTTTTCTTGTGTTTTTAAATTAAATGGAGATATTTTCAAAAATATTTTTCATTTTACGATATAAAAATATTACAGTTGTTGAACAAAGCAAGTATAATCCCCCTTACTCCCACCTCTTCAATAATATTAGAAAGTATGTTTGTAACGGTTTCGGGCAAAAACTACTGAAGCAATTTTAATAAAACTTAATATATTAAAGATTATTTATTAGAATACACGATAAGCTAATTTTTGTTGCATAAATAAATCCCTAAGGGTTATAAAATTAGGGTTGATTCTTTTTTATGATGAATGTCTTATATTTTTAAAATTAAATTGAGATATTTTCCAAAATATTTTTCATTTTACTATGAAAAAATATTACACTTGTTAAACAGTTGTTGAACAAAGCGAGTATAATCCCCCTTTCACCCCCACCCCCACTCCTCCCCTCCTAAGCCTTGCCCAGAAAAATCGCAAAAGTTATCATAATTTCGTATGAATATTAAATGAACACGCAATGAAAGTTTGCCGCTCTCCGCTTGTTGGCTGCTCGGCGAGGTAAAAAAGAAAAACTCCGCAATTGAATAACGCGCTGTGCGGCGCAACGCGTGATGGGCACCATCATTCGGCGCGAATTGAAAAATATGCAACGTCTTTTCATCCGCCCGAAATAAAAAAATAAAAATAAGGAAGAGAGGAGGAAAAAAGTGCATGTTTCGCCATTTCTAGTTTCCTCTCCATACCAACAGCTTTCCGCTCTGTTTTTTAGCTGTCTGTTGTTCTCCGACGCGCGCGCCGTTTTATGTTTTCTAGGCACCCCCTCATCCCACCCCCGCGCGCGGAACGCTTGCCGACGTTGTTTGACGCTGATGTAGGTGCCGGGAATGAAATACGTGGCGCGATGCACGCTGAATACGAACGATCGTCTGGCCATCTCCCGCGCGATGGGTGGCACTGGCTGCCAGGGTAAAATTAAGGGTTGGGGGTGCGCGGGTCTTTTTTAAATAAGTCGGAATGCGTCGCTCCCGGCGCGCATTAAATGTCAATAGGTCGAAGATTTATGTTCGAAATCAATTTAAGACCACCCCAGTCCTCAGCGGTGGTGTTGTATGCGAGGGGGAGGAGAGGGTAGGAGAGTAGGAAACGGAAGCGGAAGCGCGCGAGGCAAATAAACTCGAAATCGATTCGCAATGATGGCAGTTATCGCTCACGTGCCATTACACACGTTACATATCTGCGAACGCGCGGTTTCTTTCGACTTTTACCTACCTAAGGGTGGAAACGAGACGAATCAAGTGGTGCTAGATGCCACGGCGTGGCAAAAGTCTAAGATGACTTTTGTTTATTTTCGTTTTTCATTGCTCACACTTTCGAACAACAATTTTCCCAGACAGTTATTGACCACTTGCTGGAAGTTCGGCCAAGTTTTACTACCCTTAGCGAAAAGATCACGTATCTAATGGCAACATATTTATTTTCACCGGATAGTATTCCACAAATGTTCAAACATTAAACTCTACAGTCAAATATTTAACGTTTTCCGTGAATTTTTATATTTTTGGTTTTTTTTTTGCTTTTGGCGCAAATAATATATTAATTTATTTAAATGCATTCGTAAAACCGCAGCGTGATAATTAATTACCCGCGAAACGCATTAATTCAGCGCCCTTCAGACGTTTCCCAGGGCGTTGATTTTTTTCTTTATGAAACACCAGAGTGGCGTGATGGAAAAGTAGCAAAATGCGGGCAAGTACATCAATAAAAGGGCATAATGCCGGGGACGCGCTGCCCGAGCACGAACGCAATGTCGATATTGAAATGCCATAAAATCGGGAAACAATATTTGCCCCGGTCGCTGCGTTCCCTGCGTCTCGCTTTGCGCACAAATGTTACCGTGTGCACCCTACGGATAGTGATTTTTTAAAGTTTTCCGAACGCGCGCGGCTCTTACATGTGTGTCGTAAATGGAAATTTTCCATTTTGAAACAATAACCACAACTTCAATCTACTTGAAATGTTGTATTTGTAAGTTTTTTGATGTTTTTTGACAAAAAATGCACAAACAGAGGTTTTTCTTTCGCCGCATTTTTCTGACACATGTGGATTTGTGTGCGCCGTGTTGATTTTGTTAATACCCGTGTTCGCGGTATCATTTGGAAGCGATGAACGCGTTACCACCTGCAAAAAAGTCACACACAACAACAAAACCTTTTAGCGTGCGTTTAATAATATTTTTTGTTTGGCGACTCATCAGCGGCATGTTTTGTCCGGCCAAAACGAGCGAAAGCAGAAATATGACAGAGTAAAGATCAGATCAACGCATCAGCACTTTTGCGCTGCGGGTCGAAAAGGCTTAGCGTCATCACAACCCCGTCTAATGGTTTATAAATATTCATTAGCTGATATCGAAGCGCGAAGCATGAAAGTTGAGGGATAACGGACGAAAGCTAAAACTAGAACAAGATGCATACTACGCTTTATACTCGTAGTGGTAAATTACCAAATTTTCGCGTTATTTACTCACGGACAAACCCTTTAATGCCCGATGCGCACTTGGAATGCATTCACATTCTAATCGGATCGAAATCTGTTTAATCTGCCTCCGTTCTGCCCTTGGCAAACAAACTTTTTGTTCCCGCCGCTGGCCGATAAGGGTTAAATTACATCCGAAAGCAAGAAATGCAAATTCAAAACTATTTTACGCAAATTTCGCAATTATACTAATTAACTTTTTACGAAGGTGAAAAACAACAACAAAAATTATCCCCCGACTAGTCTGTGACAAGCGCACATAAATTCCAAAACGATGACAATTTTCACGAGTGCCAGCGAAATTGCGCGCTGTTTGTCTTGGAAGGTCTTCACGCGCACGCCTCAGAGATCATATGTTGCTGTCGGGGCACCCGGGGGAAATAAACCAAACCGCAGTGCGACGCGACTCACCACCGCCTCCGACATCCAACATCTTCGCACAGCAGCAGTGGCACGCAATTCGGCGTTTAAAACTCTTGTACTTAGGAATATTACACTCGTCAAGTGTTATGTCAAACAATCTCTTCACGTCAAAGCAGCGCAAAAGGAAAAAATCCAACCATTAGAAATATTAACTTTTATCTAGTTGTAAAATTGAGCCATCGAATTGCGTGCAATTTATACGTCATAAAAGAGCACAGCTCTTAAATTATCGTCGAGAATAGCGCTGGGAGAAAAAAAAAGCACCTCTGACGATATATCTCTACAGTCACGATTCTCTCCTTGTTCCTTTTGGGTAGTCCTGGAAAAGGCACAGCGGCAAACGCAATTTAGCTCTATGGATTGCTCGTATATTGTCATTTATCGTTGGCGCATCATTCGAGCGTTTTATTTTCCTATTTCTCCACGCAACGCGACTCGAACATTTTCAACCCCCGCTATTGATTCATTATAGAGTACAAATATTGCCGAAACGTCAATAAAACAAAATTAAATCATGGTATTAATTCGACGCACGTTTATTATGAAATTATAAATTTTAGTCAATTTACGTCGACGCGGCGGGTGGTAGTTTTTGTACCAGGGGGGTTGGTGCGAATGCACACGCGTAAATTATGCGAATTATGAAATCGCTTCATTAGCACACGCATTCCACAACGTGCAAAATTTCCACACCAAAATTAATAAAATTTATTTTTGAAAATTTTGTGATTTCAGTTGAATATTGTTGGAAATTATCGTGTAAACATTAAACACACCCTCGTTGCACACCCTAGGAGGCAAGTTCAAATAGCCCAAGGAATATGTGCGAATCCAACCACCGAGTTGCGTTCATTGTTGGCTGCTTTGGTTGCTTTCGAGTTGGCGAGTAGCAAGTTGCGAAAGCATGTAGGACACGTACACACACCCCCGCACCATGACGCTGGCGCGCGTGTGGTTTCCACAGAACTTTGATTACACGATTAGTCCGTTAACTGACGCGCGAGTAAATTTACACAAATTATTGTCTTCATTATATTCTAATTTCCACTTGATATACTTTCGCGCATGCAAATCAGCCATCAGCTTAATTAACATGCGCGCGTCAACCAAACCGGGGGGTGGTTGATGCGCGTATGAATTACATATTAATTTTACAGAAAATAAACACTGTTTCTCGTGCACGCGCGGGGGTTTATAATGCGACAGGTGACGGATATTTAGGGGATGGCGTTTTGTAATGCGGCATGCTCATTTTGTATGTTCCAGTTTCGCCGATGATTTGGGTGCCGAATCAATTGGTGGGCGCGCCGGCTGGCACGGATGTCACCATCGACTGCCACACCGAGGCCTACCCGCGCGCAATCAGCTACTGGGTGTACGATAATGTCATGCTGCTGCCGAATAAAAAATTCAGCACTGAGACAATGGAGAATAGCTACAGGGCGCATATGAAGTTGACCGTACGCAATCTACAATTTGGAGATTTCGGCAATTATCGATGCATATCCAAAAATTCTCTTGGTGAAACAGAGGGTTCCATCAGATTATACGGTAAGCAAAAATTAATATATTTTTTTATAATCAATTATATTGAATTGAGGGTGAGGGTGTAATCATGACCACACGTTCCACAGGCCGAAGAGGGTTGAAGGGTGAAACAGGCCGGATCTTAATATTCATGTCGCGTAATCGGCGCTTTTGTTGCGTCCCCGGCTGCGGTTGCGGCAAAAATCTATAAAAACCAACGACCGGCGCCCAGCGGTGGTTTACCCCTCGAAATCGAATAATAATAACAACGCGGCCAGCTTGCTGGTATTTGCAATAATTGAATTGCCTATAACCAACCCATTGATAGCAATATTTCGGACACGTTGCGTATTACAACCCCTTCAATGTGCTCAATTACATAATAACAATTTTATTTGTTCTTTAAGAATGTTTTTCTGATTTTTTTTCGTAATATGAAGATGTGTAAATATTATGCACGCGATTTTTTGCTGCTTATCTCTCCGGATGTTATATAAAATTGAAAAACCATGTAGATATTTTCCGCTCTATTTGCCTCCGGCAATATTCGCGGGGCAATACGCGAAAAAAACAAACTTTAATGTATTTTAATAAAGGCGCTCTCGCGTTGTGCACCATCGGGGGTGAGTGGCTGGCTCTATTTGCATTAGCGCCGACGAGCGTCTTTTGTAATTTTACGATTGCTCCATTCTCGAGGATCGTAAAAGACGGAAATTAATTTCGTATTGACCTCCGACTTGCCTGCAAACAGGAAGCCGGAAGCATCTTGCATCTACAATATTTGTGCAAATAACAACAAACAAGATAAAAAACAAAACGAAAAAAAATTGAGAAATTTCAAAAGGTGAAAAACAATATTTAATTAATTAAAATTTGACGTAATTAATAAAGATTTTCGTCATTTTTTTGTGATCATTTACGCTGGTAGGTAAAAAAAACGTGAATATTTTTCACAACATAATATAAATGTGAACATAATTCTATATTAGTGCAGTGCCCTGCATGCCTGCAGAACAGTAAATTACATCACAAAACGTTGCACATTCTATGGCCTCGACGCACCACCGCAACATACGCGCGGACGGTGGACGTGCACGCCGCCGCCGACATAACTGAATTTTCTAGCCCAAAAATTCATGAATATTATTTTGAATTACTCGAATTTCCGCATTCTGCGCGCTGCAAATGGCGAATCTAGGATGTTGCCGGGATGTCCAGCGTCCCAAACTAATATAGGCGAAACCGACGAGCTCTAGTAGGTCGGTCCCTTTTTGGGTTTGTTTTTAACCTTCATCAGAACCAGCACATCCTGCGTTAAAATTAAGCAATAGACCAACCAACCAGTCCTAGCACTCAAAGAGATACGCATTCATTAGGGTGTAGCTCTAATTACTATCGCGGATAAAGGGTGGAAAATCAACGCAAACGTAATAACAATTAGACACACTTCAAACTTACAAGATGTTAAAATATTTGTTTAAAAATACAAAAATTCTATTTTTTTCTACTCCCACTTTAAAAGCTGCAGTTTTGAGATAGAAAAAGTCGTATTTTAAACACGGGCGGCCATGGCGGTGACTAAAGTACTTTAGAGAGGGGCTTTAGTCACGGGGTGGAGTTTGCGCCTGCGCTTAATGGTATTTATAACCTGATATTTCCCGAGCAAATGTCAAACATTTAAAATACAAAATTTCAAATACAAAAATCTAAACGTGGAAATAAAGTGGGAGTAGAATACAATTGCGTAAGAATCACGTGTCTAAACGTTATTAAACACTCGCTCTCAATCAATCTCGTGACTAATACCCCCGTTTAGTCACTTGATGCATAATATACTATTTTGTATTGATTTGTTATTTGTGCGAGATTACAATGTGCATTTGTCAGACCAATGATTTGATTGTTTCGCTATATTGTTTGCTTTCAGAAATCCCGATGCCGTCGACGCCGCCGCGGGCAACGGAAATGAAGAGCAGCTCAAACAAAGAAAGTAAGTAGTGCACAACGGCCATGATTATTATTACCTGTACCGAGAATCAACAAAAAACAATGTATTAAAAAAGTTTAGTTACTACAATCGCAGCGACCGTTACAAAAGCGAAAATAGCTTCGAGTGGATTTTTAATCCGGATTTTTCTGCTTTAATCAGATGTTCGGCAAAAAGTTACATTTTTCAGCCGAACGCTAAAAAAATTTTTAACGAATTCAGCTAGCTACTCATAGTTAAATGTCTGCATTCGCGAGAGAAAGTTCACCAAGGGGTTGCAGAATGCTGCACTGGAATAGTGGCGGCGCGCAATGATTTAGTAATACTCGCGCAAATGGCGTGACACGTTAAGATTTAAATTACTGCATTCGCACGTCGCAAACGGTCCACCGGAGACCAGGGGCGTGCTACTTATAACTTCAACTATACAGGGTAGCACAAAACAATTTAAAAAATTACATAAAACTTATAATATCCACGTTAATTGCACAAAAAACAAAATTTTAAGTTCAAAAATTAATTTTTAATTTCTGAACACCCTGTATGTGAAACCATGAAGACAAGATAGAAACATGTTGAAATTCGGACCGCCAGAGTAGTAACTTGTTAGGTAACCGAAACTCTCTTGGCGATCTGAGCGAAATCTCACCACTACCACTAGTCGAGTGTTAAGGGGGTAGAAAGGGTTGAAGTGTGGGTATTGTTCCTGACGCCCTAGTCGAAATATGAGCGTTGTGGCATTATAGTATCAAAATAATATTAAAATTTCCCTGTAGTTACCTCCCGAGGTTATGCTTTTTTTTCTTTGAACCCATTTCATCCCCTACGAGCTTTTTCTTAAGAGTCCAGGTGATAAATACCACGGCGAAAAGCACAACGCGTCGTAATGGCCAAAGTTAGGGTTAAGACACGCTCTCGCAACTTTGCCACCGGTGATACACAATGAGTACTTTTTGTCTTGCGAGAGTTTAAAATGTGTTTGTTCTCTATTCTCTGGCGGGCTGGCAAAGTTGGAGGCAGCCGTCAGCGCGATGCTAAACAATGTCGACCTTTTTCATCATCTCGCCCGCCGCGACCGCACATCATCTTCACGAAGCGAATTTTGCACGAAATAAAGCAGCGGCTAAACACGCGTAGTTGAATTGTTTCGGATGGATTTCTTTGCGGGCTTCGTGGCGTTTTGTCGTTTTCTTTTAATTAATTTTAATTCTGTAACTTTTATCAAAGCCTCGGATGAAATTTATGAAAGTTTTGCCATAGAAAAGTTTCGCAAGCGTATGTTGAAGAAGAAATCTGTTTGAATAGCAGGTGCAATTTATGATGTGTGCCGGTTTTGTTTGAATTCGGAAAATTGACAGGTGGTTCTCATTGCAGACGTGGCGGGGAAACGGAACACCAGCAAGCCGATAGTGGCGCCGGCCGACGATCGGCCCAAGGTGGTGATGGTTTCCTCATCGGACAAGCGCGACCTGCAGCCGGGCCCCGTCGTCGAAAACGGGCTGAGCCTGTACACGCCGCCGGGCCCGCAAGGATCAGGTATACAGAGAGAGTCCACAACAAGCACTACTAAACTCCCCAAACAACCACACCACCACCACCATTACAACAACAACAACCGCACGCCACATCAGAAATCAATCAATCAAATCTCCATCACACTCTTGTTTGGCGCTTGTTTCCCACTCCAGGCGCTAATTCGTTTTTATTACGCGTTTGATACCAAATTGTAATCATTCATTTAATGATTGCGCCATGGGGAGATTTATATTGTTTTTTCTTGGGTTGGCGTTTAGCGTTTATTGATTTTCGATTTGGCGCGCGCAATTTTTGCAAAAATAGCATTGTTTCAAGTGTCGCGCGTTTGCCGCCGCCGCCGCTTGTTGTTGGCGAGCGGGAAAGTTTGAGAGCGTTAATGGACGAACACAAGCGCGGGCGGAAATGGCGCGCATGCTGCTTGCGAACTGTGATTTGAACCACCTGTTACGTTTTGACGCTTTTGTGCACAAAAATCCATCAATTTACACGATTCCGAATTTGTCACGCACGTATTTTACCCTCAAAATCATTTCTGAATGTAGTACACACAATATTTTATCGCTCACTTAACTTAGCTATATGCATCGAATGTGACAATAAAAATTAACAAATTTATCTTTAAGTATGTAGTATACCATCAGAGAAGATATGTCTGTAAAAGTGTAAAGAAACATGCGAGGCCAGCCGAAGTAACTTCTTAAATCCCATTACGAATTCATTTCGCGCCTTAGATTTATTGGCAATCTCTTTCGCATTAAATTTTTACTTTTGAACTACCCTCGGTACTCTCGTGCCTACCGCGGTTAATGTCGAACGCGAATAAAACACGGCCGCCCGCCGTCCCATTCCACTGCGCCGGCGAACACAAAAATACCCTAATATACATTTCCGTTTCCTTTTAATATTACATCAAACGCAGTAGGTACTAGGCGGTGTTCAGACGTTGCAAAAAAATATATATAAAAAAGTGATGGCGCTATAGGACGGAAACGGAAGAAAATAGTACATTTACTGCGAGGAAATGATTCCAAGTTAGCTAATCAAAGACTCAACTGATAAAAACAATAATTTTCGGATACTTCATGAAAAGAAAATTAATGTAATAACGAAATAAAGCGAAAATATCAATTTTTATTCGATTTTTTTTAAATTTCCATATTTTAATTGCAATTTTCATGTAAACTAAAAGTGATGGAAAGAAACGGTTTGAAAATTCTGAATCTACGGAAAATTCTCTATAAGACGTAATAAAATTATATAAATTCGAGGCGTCGAAAGTCGGAAATATTGATAAAATAAATAAACAGCTAAAATCCAAAAAAAAATTTATCCTGATTTTTCGAGTTTTTTCGATAACGAATATCTTCTAAACTAAAAATGCTAGCGACCAACAAATGAAGGATTATAAAAGTTTAGAAAATTCTTTATAAGATAAAATAATAACATGTATAAATTTCGTAAAGTAAAAGTTCAGAAAATGCGATTAAAAGTGCTCAAATTAGCCATTTTTTAATTTTTTCACTTTTTTCAATTGCGAATATCTCGTAAACTAAAAGCGATAGCAACCAGCGGATTGATAATTATAACACTCCGAAAATCTTCTTTATAAGATAAGTTAACAAAATAATTAATAGTCTGGAGGAAACAGTTCAGAAATCGGGACTGAAACAGCTAAAAATAGCATTTTCATTTTTTCAAAAATTTTCATTTGTGAATACCTCGAAAACTAAAAGCAATAAACAAAAACGGATTGAAGATTCTTAATCTACATCAAATTCTCTTTGAACAAAAATATGTTGCGTATATAACTGTACAAAAAAAACGCCTTAAACATTCTCCCCAAGTGTTGCTACACAATAAACTATACAATTTACGATAACGCGATGAAAGCGGTAAAAATTATTTACTTGCGTCTGCATCCGCGCATATCTCACACTGCAGCATTCGTCCTTCAAGAACCAGCAGCAGATCCGCAGCGCGCTTATAAATATTAAATATGTCCGAGCGACATTTTACAGTAGTGGCGGGACGTGGCCGCGCGTCTTTCACTCTTTCAGCTTTGTGTCTCCCGAGCGTGGTCGTACGCTTTTATTTAACTTTTTACACGCGCGCCCTTTACTCTCGCTGCTGCGGCAAACGTATACCCTACTACACACCGAGTTGTTTTATCGGTCAACTTGAAGACGCCGCGCGACGACGCTATGTGACCGGAATTAACATTGTTCTTTTATCATTGCGCGGCGTCGTCGAGCGCGTAAACGAGCAAAACTGTCGTCGTGCCCGCATCCAACCGTCGTGCGCAAGAGGACAAAGCGTTTTATAGCGTCAGACACTTTTAGGACACCACACAAACGTATACACAAATCAACACAGCGTGAAAAACGAAGAATTTTTTGAAATAAAATTTAAGAATGCGTGCGTAAATTGCGTTGGTAAATAGCTAGGATATTTAAATGTTATTTAACCGGTTTTCGGCGAGTACTCCGGTAATGGACTTTCAAATCGTTGGCAAACCAAGCAATTCACCTCAAAATTGCTTTCATCGAGATAATTCCAGCGAAATTCATCACTTCAGATACACTTTGACTTGAAACATTTAAATTACAACATGGAAATCGACTTTGGGCATTTTGTCAACCCTTAAATAAAATCTTAGACTTTCAAATATTTTTAAAATACCACACGTAATAAAGTAAAATGAATTTTTTTTTCGTTTTTTAAAAAAAATTAATCACCATGCGCGGTACAAATGTCGAAATGTCGCTTTAGGCTTTACGCACTCGAATACACGAGCTTCATTAACTAAGCACTTCGGCAAAATTAATTAGCGGATCGCATTTTAATGCACGCCCGTTTTGACATGTCGTCCCTTTGACGCCGCATTAAGAGCGGACCAGGATTAATTATGAATTTTCAATTTGATGTGATTTTACGAGATTTTACGCCCATTTTAGGAATTCTCAAAAATTTATTATAATTTAATCCCTTTGGGGAGCGGCGGAGAAAAGTTCAAAGTAATGTATGTGCTTACAGAGGGAATTTTTGATTTGCGTGATGTAAAACACGTAAAATTTACAAAATATTACAAAATTTTCATTACCAGTGGATAAAGTATAGTATCTAGTAAATATCTAACAAATTTGGCACTTAGCATGTACCTATCACGCTTAATAAACCTAAAAATTAAAAAAAATTAAAAATTTTACTTGCAAAATATCACATCCCATAATATCACACCACTAATACTGGCTTTAATCACTCGCTTGTTCAAAATCATTACTTATCACGCACTTTTTACTTGTATGCTTTGATAATTTTTCTCTGTATGTAAATAAATTAATATTTTTGGGTTTTTACAGGATGCATGAGCATATCCAGGTGGCTTGCGCCCCAGATCGCCCTCACCGTGACGGTGCACCTCCTCTACACGTGCAACTTTGCGGAAAACTAAACCCACTTGCTTGCGAAATTGGGTATTTCATATCAAAACACTAATTAAACTTAAAAACTCTAAAAGAAACATTTTTCCACCGAGTCAACACACGAGACGACGATCGAAAGTTCTGCTCAAAGCATTAAAAAAGCATAAATAAATGGAAGTAATGATACGACTGCCTGCAAAAACCCCGGAAGACCGGAAATGTAAAATCTAACTTTCGCTTCGCCGATGTTTTTTCCCATTGATTTCTTAACTTAAACCATTACTGGAAATCAGTTTCTGCACCGCTGGAGAATCCACACGACGACGACGTAAACGTGCTTGTAAATTAATTAAATTTTAAAGAACGCGTGTGACGTAAAATGTTGAATTTAGTTTTGATTACGAACACAATTCATATCCAATCATATCTTGTGTGAATATTTAGTTGGGAACAGTATTAAACTATATAAAGAAACGAATAATGCCGTCATGATCTAACATATCTTCGCATCGCCACTAATTACGAAACAGAGATTTAACAATTTAACCAATTAAACAAAGAATACTCCGAGTTTATTTTCTGACCGTAAATAAATGATCAAATCACAAACGCAACACAAACAATGAATAAAACGTAAATTATCTTATATATAATTAAAGTGACCCGTAAATACTTCTATCACTAAATTTATTTGTTTAAATAATTGAATAAATTCGTGGGCGTTTGTAAAAAAATATGAATATGAGTGTATGCGTGTGAATGATTGCGGGTGACTCATCGAAGAAAATCTAGCTGCAGCTGAATTTGTTTCCAAGAAAAAAAAAACGGATTTAAAACATTTTTTTGCGAAATTTTTTTTTTAAGAAAAAATGGTTTAAATCCAGTTTTTTGTGTTTATCTACCGCCTAATGACCGATATTAATGATTAAGTGTTAGAAACACGTCTCCCACACACACACGCAGGTTTTCCATTTGTAAATATTACGAAAACATTAACATATTGCAATTTACAACTACCAGAAACAAGAGACACATAAAAGGAGGCTTATTGTATAAAAAAAAAAACGTAAAAAATTAAAGAAAAATTGAGATGAAACGAAGCAACTTACGTGTATTGCAGTAATGTCATGGCAATCATCAGTCTGTAAAAAAATGAAGGAAAAATCAAAAATTTGCCATGATTACGAAGATGTGCAGCAGAAAAAAAACACATGATAAACATGACTATCGTCGTTATAACTACCTACAAATACATATTAATGTTTTGGACATTCGTTTCAAAGTGCCAAAGGTATTTTAGAAATTAGTGTACTTGCTGTCTTCTCATTTGCGTTCAAATAATAAGTTATTTCTGATTTAAAAAACTTTAAAATTTTCATTTTTTGTCAAAAAAAAAACGCAAAAAACGCAAACATTTAATATCAACGACGTGTTTAAGAAAGTTAAGAGATATTTTCAACTTTTTTACACATTAGTCAATTATCATTATTAATTCTAGGCATTGTTATTGTTTATTATATTCTAATATGGTATAAAAAATAAATAAGTTAAGTATTTAAAATCAACGAGTGTTATTCGCTTGTTTTTCAGGTTTGCTGGATTCCCTTGCATGAATTTATGTATAAACATTTGAGGTATTTTTGGTCCAGTGTGAAGATGTTCGCTATTCGCGTTGTGGAGCAGATCGTCGCCGAGTTTGGCGAGCGCTCGTTATGAATATTTATGAGTTCAATTATTAAATATTAGAACTAAATCGATAATGTCTTCGTGCCGTGCCAGCCGGAGCCGGAGACGCGATGCGCGTATTGAAATCGTGTTCGAGCAAACGAAACCCTGAAATACATAATAATTCGCCATAAATTGCGCATAAATTGCATTCAATTGCAATAAATTACGATTGGGAATTTCTTATATAAAATAAAATAAAATAAAAAATCGACAAATCAGTATGTTAAGTATTTTGAAGACAAAAAGTACAAGCGCAAGCTCCACCCCGTGACTAAATCAAGTGATTAAAGTACTTTAGTTACGTCCGTGTTTAAAGTACCATTTTTTGTATTGCAAAACCGTAGAAAAACTGGTGTTTTAAAGATGAAAGTGAAAAAAATATTTTTTGACGTACTAACATATTGTTTTAGTGAAACGATGAATAAATAATGTGAATAGTGAAATAAACCAATTGTGAGTAGTGAATTTCTCATATATCATCCTATATTATCCAATTACAACCAATTTTTTTTAAAATGCTAATGAAATTTAATGAAATTATAAAATTCATTTTCATCAATAGTAGTTTTTTTGATATGCCAGCAGTTAATTTGTATTCGTATATCAATAAATTAGCCGAGTGATAAATTTATTGCGGTGCGCACGCGAAATAAACTGATTAAACGGATTCACCGCCTGCACAAACCACCTCACGCCCAACTACCACCCCCAAAAACCGAAAAGCACACACAAAAAGTGCGCACGCACGCTCGAGAGATAGCGCACAGCGCAACAAACAAAAATGCAATCAAAAATCGCTTTAATTAAACACTCAATCATCCGATTGTCGCGCCAGCAACGAACTCTATTTACAAACTGTTGAATTTCGCCGAAAATCATTTTCACCAACCAATGAAAAAAAGCGACACACGCGACCTACACTGAAGAATTTATTCTGTGTCCGAGTTTTACAAGCGCGCGCGTTCCTCCAGAGAACTATAAACATTATAAATACAAGATGAAGCAACCGGGCGGCGAAAAAAAAAATTTGTAAGAGTGCACAAAAGAAATAGAGACGCGACCGCGTACGCATCGTAGAAATGCATAGAATAAGCTATTACATCGAATTTTTATGCCATTTTATGCCCCGGCCGAAAGCACCGAAAAGCACGGACGCCGAGAGCGGCATATACATAAATATATAGCACGCGAAACATGAATAATACACGCGCCGAATGCGAGACGAGCTGAATGCTAAGGAGCGACCGCCATCACATTCAGGAAGGGCAATAAAAAAGTAGGGTTATATAATATACCTAAATTCTACATCTAAAAAAAGCGCGGCGCAGGTATACTACCCACAAAACAACACATTTGGTAACTAACGCCATCTAGCGAGAGAATGACAAACTGCTAAACTGACAACAGACTGCTAATAATTTACTAATTAATAATCCGCCAATATTTGGCAATCATGTTAGGCTATACAGTTACAAATAGAGATCACAGTGTAGTCAATATTCGTCGCACACGCCACCTAACCTCAATCCGAGGCAAAGCATTGAGAACGTTGTGTTTGAGTTTGGGAGTTTGTGTTTGAATTTGCTATGCGGTGTGAATGCTTATTGAATGTCTGAATGTCGAAATATACAGAGTGAAATATATATTTTAGTAATTCTCCGTTTAATAAACAAACACTGTACATAGAAAGGAAGAGAAGAAAAAAATTGACGCGACGTTAACTAAGGCGTCGAGCGTCGACGAGCGTCTCTTTAACGTGATAAATTTTCAAACATTGTCAATGCGCTTCAGCGGCGCCAGTAAATTACATTAATTAGCACCCCCGGTCCGGGTGTTATCCCTTCGAGGACACTCTAGCTCGTCGCACCGCATTTTTAATTATTTTTTGCTCGATAAATTACGCGCCAGCCCAAACACAAAGTCTTTGTGTCCCTGGTGCTCCTTGTAATTTCCTCCAATATAGGAAATTATCTTACAATAAAACAACACCGCCGCCGCCGCCCGAATAAAAATTGCAAAACAAGATAAAATTTCGCCCGTCTTCCGGTATTCATGCTTACGCATAAAATTTCATAAAACGCGCCGCCTGAAGGACAAATTTTAATTACCAATGTGTTTGTTTTCCGGGGACGCCTTTTGAATATTTAAAAGTGTCGCCAGTGTGTTTATCAGCCGGAAAGGACTCAAAGCAAACGCGGCAATGTTTCAGCTTCGATTGGGTACGCGTCCCCTTCATCCCGATACATTGAAACACCGAGTGAAAGGCGTTTCCCGACAGCCGGCGACCGCAACGTCCAAGATCAAAGCGTCCGGTCATCTCAAACGACATTACCAACCCGCACCCCTTACAAGAAACTTTTCGCTCCGCCCGAGAGACCCAACCAAAAGTCAATCTTCAATCTTCGATCTTCTCCGGCAGGCAGCAGGAAACTATATCGATGGCAACTTAAACATTCCATTATCCAAAAACGAAAGACGATGCCTCCAGGAGGCCACAGCTGCATACATTAGTATATGACATCCATAAAGATTTAGGGCCAGTTTGCCCCGAAAGATGTTCGCATTGATATGCGCCGCGTGACGCCACCGGCTGCGCACGCGCTGATGTATAGGTGTCACCGTTCCTGCATATTTAGTGGATATCGAACTGAAATTCCAAGATTCGCGCTACCCAATCAACAACAGGCGAGAACTAGTTTTCAAAAAGAAGAAAAAAAATTGAGGGAACAAAACTACCCCTGTCGCAACTTGGCGCAGCTATAACGAGTTGTCCTAATTACCAAGCGGGTAAATAAACTGAATTAAAACTAAGCGCAACACGACAACGAAAGAGTTGCGCAAAGTTTATTAGGGGATGTAAAAGAGGGATGGAATTCGTGGATGACATTCGCGTCGCCGAGACGGACCTTAAGTGAAGTACCCCTGGTAACGTCACGCATTTGTTTAGACTCTCGGCGAAAGTAAACATTTTTTAAATTACTCCCACTACCCTCAGATGTCCTTGGGGGTTAGGGGAGGGGGAAGTGGACGAGATGCTGTCTAATTAATAAAGAAGACGGACGCACAACGCATTAACTCAAGTTTAATTCAGTACAATTTAAAAAACAACAAAGTGTTTTAAATTTTGAGGTTAGGTTTTTATAGCTATTGAAAATAGCCGGAGTTATAAGTGGGCGGAGCTCTTTTAGTGGTTTTATTGATATTTTAAGCAATAAATGTTTAAAATTGTTTTTTACAGCGAAATAAATTTTTAACAGTGTTTTTTTTTCTTCGTGCGCATGCGCAAAACGAATTTTAATTCAGTTTTCTTTTGAAATTTTAGATAAATTTTTTATAGCTACTAAAAATAGGCGGAGTTATAAATGGGTGCAGCTCTTTTAGTACCTACTCTTATTAATATTTTTGTGTATAAAATAGATAAAATTGTTTTTTATGGCAAAATAAATGTTTTGGAGTGATTTTCTCTTCGCGTGCATGCGTAAAAAGTATTTTAATTCAATTTTTCTAAATTTTCAGGTTAAGTTTTTATAGCTACTCGAAATAGGCGGAGTTCTAAGTGGGCAAAAGCCCTTTTAGTAGTTTTACAGATATTTGTAGATTATAAATATCTGAAATTGTTTTTCATTGCAAAATAAATATTTAATAATCTCCTGAAGTGTTTTTTTCTCGCCTCACGCATGCGCAAAACGTATGTATGCGATACGGTATAAAATAAAGCGGCGTCGTAGAGCCGGGAATTGGAAGTATTTAAGTTTATTGCGAGTGTAAAACGCGAAATCCCGCACGATCGGTGTGCTTGTGCTCGCGCTCTCAACTGCTAACAGCCGCCCCCCATTCAGCCACCCCCCGTCGGGGAAGCATTTCGATGATTTTCGCGAGAGGTGCGAGAAGCGAACGCCGAACTTACTGTAACCACTGCCAGCGATGGTAAATTTAACGGAGGCGGCGAGTGTATTTTTACACTGCCATACTGATACGGCGGTAATACGTCACGTGCGGAGCGGCGCGCACCGCATAAGAGAATGTGACGCAATAAAATATATCGCATCGCATCACACGCCACTGCTACACCGCCATTGCCGCCACCACGGTCGAAGCAGCAGCGCAATTTCGCGCGAACGCTACCCGAATATATGTGAGTCGGGTTGCAATACAAGTGCACATGATCCATATCGTGTTTGGCAGTATGTATCTACTCGGTTTTTTTCCGGTCTGCGCGCCGCCGGAGAGATAACGCAAACGCAACAGTAACTGCAGGATATCATCGTAAAAATTCGACACTATTTTTTACGCGCGTACGCAATGCGTGCGCTTGAGCCCCGGAGAAAATATCCGATGACGCGATGCATTTCCATTTTTTAGGGAAATGTTTAGACAGCGTTTTTCTCGCGTTTCAAAAAATATATCTACATAATAACCACGCGTATATTTCTAAACTGGAGGGAGGTAAACCACGCCTCCATCGATCATCATACTCAAAGTAGGCGGAGCACAATGATGAAATAATTGAAATTTTTCAACAAATTAAAAAGTTTCAGCAACAAATTCATTCAATTTTGCAAATCTCCGTTCGGCACGGACGTAAATTAAATATTTACCCGCATTTCCGGCGCTAAGTGAGATGCTGCCGCTGCATGCACTTCCGGTTGTGCGGCGTTGAAATGTTTGCTCGTGTCGCCGTCAACAAAGTCGCAACTTGTGCGAACTACGCCATTTCCATATGCATGTATATTCTCCTTATGCACATCCTAACCTCCCCAGACATCAGCCGCCGTCAACGTAAAACTTAACTTTTCCGCCGACGTCTAATTACCGCTGAACTTAAGCGACGCGTGCA